TTGTGAAAAGGGAAGGATTTTGAAAGTGGGTTGGATTATTTTGGCTATATTCGTTTGTATGTGGAGTGTGTGTACACGGGCTATAACCTAGAATCCAGCTCTGTACGGGCTACAACCCAGAATCCAGCCTTGCACCCATACGGAAGGGTCGCAGCTTGCTGCCCCGAACACTAGTCCAGTCCATTGCCAGCTCGGCCGCCTCCAATTTTCCGATCACTAAAGGCGCTCTCGCCAATCTGGCAGTCCTTGCCTGTGGAGCTTGTGCAACGGGTTCTTCATGAGCTTGTCAGTATCCATCTCCGGCACATTGGCTCGGACCCGTTTTATCCCTGGGAGACTCTCCGCCAGCTGAACCATCACCAAAGGCGGCGGATCGATGCGCTATATCGACAACTCTTACTCCCCATCTTGCGTCTGGGACGTTCGGTAGAGTTTTACCCTACTACAAACCGTCCAGAATTCACAGGGATCGACAGCGGTCAGGTCATGCGGTTATGGGCGGCCGACGAGGGGAAAGGTGAAGCTTGCGAATCCACCAACGACACTATCACCTTGCCTCTAGCCGGGTGCGAAACGTCATATGGATATACGCTAGAGGCACCCATGCGTGGCGGGTACGATTACGAACATCCGAGCTTTGATGCCTCGAACGGATGGAACAAATATGTCAACAGCTTCCCACCTGGTGGACTTCATGTCGACCCAGAACCCCATTACTCCTTCACTCTAGAGTGGATCTCTGATCTGCACCGGTGGATGGAGGGGGAGATACCGGCCAGCCATCTACCTGACGTCCAAGATGATGATTCCGACAATGACTCGATCAAGGTCAGCTTCAGCCAACTTATTAGCGGCTTGATTCGGGCATGGAAGAAAAGCCACGCCTCGAGAGGCTACGGTCTTTATATCTACTGGCCTGGTCAGACCATTGTCACCGTCTTCACTTGGGAGAAGAAGGATATGGACATCTGCAAACTGCTTTGGGAAGTTCAGAGGGGGAAGATTCCGAGGGTGAAGATTCAGAGGGGGTAGATTTCGAATGGGGAGTGTCAGAGGGGGAAAATTCCGAGGGGGAAGATTCCGAGGAGGAAGATTCAGAAGGGGAAGATTCAGAGTGGTAGCGCCCTTCATCAGCCGTCAAGATAATCAACTTCGTTTATCTTCGCCATGGAATCCCCACAGCAGCAACTGTCGCCCACCTGGCAGAACCTCCCCAATCGAACTGATCGATCAACTGGTCAAGATGTCTGGTTCGCGTATTCCCAACAACTTCAGTCTGGCAATTGTTGAGTATGGGAGAGGCCCAGAGTCCCTTCCGTTGACGTTTGTATCCTCCTTGAGAGGTGCACTGTGACGCTAGAAGGGTCAACGGCCTCCATGGAATCACCACTTGAAATGTCGCTTGATCGCTTGGCTAGGTATGCGCCTCGGTCTGACGCTCACCGGTGGTTAATGCCGCTGTGATGGGAGACGAAAGTGATGGTGGGTATGTCTTTGTGGCATATACACTGTGGGCCCAGTCACCTGGGAGACCTGGAGGGGACCGAAAGAACTTTGATGACTATTTGGACGTCCAATGATACCCAATTATTGCCCACTTTAGCTTCCCAGTGCCTAAATCATAGGTAACTGCCCCTCCTGAGCCCCGTTTGTTGGCCAGTTCCGCACGACTTGTCCTGCAGTCATGCCCGTTGCCTTGGAGCGAACAAAGGCTAATGACCAACAGCAACCGCTGGCCCGTCCTCGACTAACCAGCCGACCAAAGCATGTTGTGACCTGTGCAACACGAGCTTTGCCGTCAGCGTCGGTAAAGTTGTAACCATGATCTTCATCTTGCATCTTTAACTGGCTGAGATCCAATGTCAGACATGTCGCCAAGCCGAATCCACACTAGACAGAATGTTAGCTCCAAGAAGAGGCTTATAAGGCCGACAAGTCCGATTCATCTGATGATCTGCGACTCCAAATCCCGATTGGCGATCTATTTACGGCGCGGTCGTAAGCCCATCGAACCCTGTTTCTCGTTGTCTTACGTCACGAGCCGTGGTCTAGTTATATGCCACTTCAGTTTTTAGGGGTCACCTTTGTCGTGTGAGCTACGCCATTTGCTGACAGACTTGTTGTGTTGCATAAGCCGCAATGCTCGCTCTAATTGAACAGCGGGAAGGAGATGCTCGGAGAAATCGTTGATGAGGAAAGATGGAGTTCGTGATGGATGGGTAGGTACGGTACACCAAATGGGGAGTGGGAAAGAGAAGGTGAGTTCGGATAATCAGATGCCCATGCCAATTGCCACAATGATTGCCAAAGACGACCCGTCACCGACTCGCCGTTCGTGTCACGCAAAGAAAGATGGTTCCACATCGGGATATGCTGTGGACTGGGATACAACATTTAAAGTGAGGAGCCCTCGTCGACTGCTCGAGTTGAAATGATCGTTATCCCATCCACTAGGTATCAATATTACCAGACTGCATCAACATCCTTTGTCGGACTCTCATCTCTCAAGTCACACCCATCTACTAGGTACCTCTATCAATATTATTGCATCAATATCCATCCTTGGACTCTCATCTCTCAATTTGCAGCAAGCACCAAATCTTGTTGACAGAACGGAAAGCACAATGAAGTTCTCCATCCTCCCCTCCATCGTCTTCCTCGCCTTCACAACTGGCGCCCTTGCAGCTCCCAAACCCATCCTCATCAACGCCAGGCAAAAGTAAGCCGACCCTCGTCCCTTCTTCCCGTACTCTTCTTTCCATTTCACAAAACTGACTCCTCTCCCCATCTTTTAGCTCCCAGCCCCCACTCACAAACCCCAATCCAAACGCCTCTCTCCAACCTTTTCTCTCCTCCACCTCCTGCTCCGGTCCGCCCTCGCAGGTCGTGATTCCCGTCTCCTACGCCACTTTGTCCCCGGATACCACTCTCTCCCAAGGATGTTATGAATTTATCGACAGCGGTGTGTCGACGCCCGTCCAGTCGGTCAGGATCACGGGTGTCTGGCCGGAGGCGAATAAGTGCCTGCTGAGGTTTTATGAGGAGGCGGGTTGCGCTGCTGAAAGCGCGTTTGGGACGGTGGCGCCGAATACTTGTGGGAGCTTTGTTGGGGGGAGGGGTATTGGCAGTTATCAAGTTGTTTGTCAGAGCACTTAGAGTTCTGGTGGTGGTGTTACATGTAAGGTTGTTGTGGAATGTGTTCAGAGTCGTGTTTCCTCTGTCTCATAAAGGAACCAGTTCACCATCCCCGTGATAAAATCCTCCCACTTGAACCGGATATACCTGCCATCTTCTGACACCTCCAAGCCCTCCAGATCAACTGAACCCTTACGGAGACTGTACATGTCCAAGCCCCGGTGAAACTGGATAACGTTCTGCTGCCAAGTTCTCGCACGAACCCCCACGATTAGGTAGCTCGAAGTTCTATCCGCAACATAATCGTCCCAAGCGTCCAGGAGATCGTCCATCATTTCCTCTATAGTAATGTCACCTGCCGCGACGAATCCGTTTTCTTCAGGCTTGTAGAGAAAGAAGGTAACCATGTTATCGGGGCCAAGCCTCGTCAAAGCGTGATGATCTTCAGACTCGGGAAAGTGAAAGTAACGAAGAAAGGGGGTATCAAACTCGGCGTCAAGGCACAGGTAGAGCGTTACCCTGGTCAGCCACTCGTCAAGGAAGTGGCGCTCAATGAGATGTCTCTGACGTCTGAAAAGAGACTCACGGCGAAGGTTCCAGGTTTTGAAAGAAATTCCATTCTTGATGCCGATGTCGGGTGAAATGGCCACCAAGTTTCCTTCGGTATCAAACTCGCATTCGTCATTGAAAAAACACTCGTTGATGAAGCTCTCAATGAGGTGATTGAAAATCTTTTGTACCAGTTCAATTGGGAGCTCTCTCCATATTGTCGACATGATTACTCGCTCGTTGTCCCACAGATTAGTATCAGCGGGCCATGTAGTAGATAGCCTCAAGGGAAAGCTCATGAGTGCCTTCCATTGCAATGAAGGAGAGTTGGGTTGATAGATGTGATGATCGTCGATTTGCGCATATGATAGGTACCTCTAGCGACGTTTCTCAGAGTCAAGCGGAACGATGGCCTGGTTGCTTTAATGGTTGCTCTTGGACACCTTGGTTGCTGTGCAGCGGCAAGAACTGTGTAGGTACCTACCTAACTGTGAACCTGAGACGGATGCCAGCTACATATAGCCTAGGTAGCTGGCGAGATCAACGATCTACGATCTGGAGATAATAACGTTCTGGCGATTGTCAAACCGTTGCCGAAGGGAAGTACTGGTCAAACAGGGAAAGTGTGGCCTGCAGGTAGGGCAAAGGATTTGAACCGGGAAACATGCAGATCAATGCAGGCGCTCTACATTACCTAGGTAAATACCTCTATATAAGTTACCTACTTACCAGGTACCTCTACCTACGCAGACCACAACAGCAGAGTGCTCGTAAAGGACAATTAGTCGATTAGTAAGACTAATAAAATGAACCAAATAACAAGTGGAAAGCAAAGTTGCGGGCAAGGCGGCAAAGGTTACCAGGGGCACGCTGCATTCTTCTGTAAAGTTTGGCTCTGTTCCTGCCAATCTCAAGTAAATCCTGCTCATCATACCTACCTCTACATTACTGCTACCACCGATCCCTCAGTCGCCTGCACCATCCCACGTCATTCAGCTTTCCCTCACCATCAACAAGTCCGTTAACAAATGACAATCTATCCACGCAAACCAGATGCCCTTTCAATCTTGTAACATCTGCAGACCCTTCAATTCGAGAATGTGTCTAGCACAATCATACAATAACTGATCCGTGTCACAACTGAATGCATCTTGGTATAATGAGAAGTACCAGGCAACATGAGCGTCCAATGTCACTACCTCTAGAAATACCTACCCTAGTGGCCTAGTGCCAGTTCCAACTTATGGCCCGGGCATGAACCACCCAACCAAAAGTGAGTCTACTGATGGCGGCGGCAGCGGTAAATCATCGTCACCTACAACCTCTGAAGGTAGAGGTGTCGTCCATATCTCCAGAATGCGGGTGAGCACCGTCGTCATCAATTTCTTCCACGGAAAGCTGATGCGAGCCCCGCCGTTTGACACCTCCCAGCCTTCCAGACGCAGTTCAATCGAATCGATACGCGTTCCATCCGGGGGTTCAATGTGAAGTGGAGGCAACCCATTGTTGGTCGCGTTCATGAGCCTATTCCAAGTAGGAAGGAGGGAAGCGCGGGGACGGTCCCTTCCCTTTCAATGTCTGGAAACAAACTTTAAGGTGGCCTTTCCGGTCTCGGGAACACCATTGTCGTTAGGCGTGAGCTGAGGATCTGATGAGAAGATACCAGGAAAGTTGTGGGCGTGCATATATTTACCACCGTGGCGATATCTTATTCCGGGTATCGTGTGGTCTTTAACGTATATATTGAACCGCACATGGTTCAGCCAGTGAGCATAAAAATAACGCTCAATAAGGTGCTTCTGGCATCTGAAGAGGCTATCCCGTCGGAAGTTGAACCAAGCATCCTTGAGGATAGCGGCATTTGTAGTGGTAGAGTACATGTCGGAAGCTCGGCAGGAGATAAGGAGGTTTGTGATGAAGTGGTCGAGGATTTGCTGGACGAGTTCGATGGGGAGGAGTTGCCAAATTGATGAAAGTTCCAGTGCGTCCGATAATCTCGTGTGCGGAGATAGAAGGGGCTGAGTGCACGTGGACTGAGGTGAATGGAGGTTCCATGTTATCCGCAATTGCGAGGGAAACAGAGACTGGAAAGGTTGGAGAGACGAACGAAAGGCACCAAGAAGGTTGGAGTACAGAGAAAAGAAAGACAAATGACAAGAAGAAAGAGCACAGAAGATCAATGAAGGGATGGAAGCAATACCTCGTGCGATAAATACCCCTACGTAGGTATCTCTAGAGGTACTTGGCCATATGATGACGTGTTCTCGCAAGAAAGGCCAATTGTCGCCTGGCATGCAAGCCAACAATTCCCCTGTACATCGTTGCAACCATCCCATATTCCTCCGCAATGGCTTCCACGCGCACCATTACAGCCGCTCTATGCCCTTCATCCTCAGTGTCCTAGACATCCCCTCACTGATTGTCCTCAAATCATCCCATTAATCCGACTCATCCCAATCATCCTCATCTTCGCTCACTTCCACTCCCGGTTCAGGAACGTAAGTGTACCCGTTGTACAATCCGAACTTCAACAAGACTTTGCTCATCAGCTTTTTCCAGTTAAACTGCACCCGCCGACCATGGTCCAACACCTCCAAGCCCTTCAGCACGACTTCGCTCTCGCTTGTCCACAAATTATCCTCGGGTCCCGACTCGAGAGTCTGCTCCTTGGTGCGCAGCGCCAGGCCGAGTCGTTCTGTCTTCCCCTTTAGCACCTTCGCCCACGCGTTCTCGACGCGAGGCAGAATTTCCGGTACATTGCCGAATTCTCGCTTCGAGGTCTCTCCGTACGAGTTTTCGCGAGCTGACCGCACTGCACCCCGTAGAAAGAAGGTGACCTTCTCCTCCGCGTCTGCCTCGGCACCACCATCCCCACCTTCCTTGACTTCAACTTCTGGCAGCGCCATTGCAAGATCCTTGCCTTCGGGGCAGGAGAGATATCGACAGTACAGCATCCTGCGCGAGGTATTGTACATGTTTGGGTCCAGGTACAGGTAAATCATGACCCTGCTGAGCCAGTGGTCGCGGTAGTGGCGCTCAATGCGACGCTTCTGGCTGCTAAAGAGCGGGATGTGGCGATATTTTGTCCATGGGTCCAGCAGCTGGGGTAGTTCGCCTCTGGGAATGTCGTCCTCGGAAATCCAGTCTATGTCATGATCGCCGAGAAGGTCGTCGATGAAATGGTTCAGGACTTGCTGGATGAGTTCGGATGGAAGCTTCCTCCAGAGTTGTGGAGACAGTTGCGGTGCGGTCGACATTGCAAACGTGTGTGTATGTGAACTGGACTGCAGAAATCGTGAAGCTCAAAGATGTCGAACACGAAAGAAGTTTGTTGACGGAGGGGAACTGTCCCAGCCCGATAGCGCGCTTTTGACGCAACCTAAACATGCAGGGCATGATGGCCCTTTCAGGCCTGGCGCTGGTGGTGCTGAAACGCAGGGTGCCTCTAGGGTTAGGGCCCAAGACATTATCGTCGTATGCGATGCCTACCTCTATCATCCAACACTTGTAACCCAAGCACCTCAACTTCCTTGATACCCAATGGCGGAATATGGACCATGACTGATCTTGAGTCTGTAAAGCTAGGTCAGAACTTTCGGCGATGCCGCGTTTCCAAGCCTGGGCCGCTACGCCAGGCAGCTCTTGCCCCTCATCGTCGCCCATTATTTTTTCTGACACCATCTAGGCACATCGCTCAGTCAGGTGAGGGCCGTCTATCCGGTATACTGATGTGGTTCGTAGGGTTAGGTTACCTGACCTGTACTTGAAGATACCCCGGAAATCTTCCACGACAATCGTCCAGCGTGCCCAGACTCGACTTCCTTGCAAGCGCATGGACGAGTTGGGATGACCCATTTCCTGAGCCCATTACGCTAGTCCGTATCGGGTATAACAATTTGACCCTTTTCCCGTCCCGTTCGTTCCCCAGGGCGTCCAGTCCACCCACCCGCTGATCTGAACTCCAAGTCATGGAACTTCTGGAAACTTTACTTTTCGGATCCTTTTACGGAACAACACCTTCGTTCTCTTTTTGTGCACAGTTCTTGTATTGATCGATATCACTCACTTTAGTCACTCTTTCAGGAAGTCAGTTACAAATACTATCCAGAAAACGAACCAACACAAGCCAGCGGCATCCATTGAAAAAATCTGGACTCTGCAATGCAAACGTACAGCCGTGGTTACAACGTCCCCCCGCTGCCTATAAGACGGAAACCGACACCACTTGACGCAGCGCCCACCACACCACATGCAACTCATCGACGACCACAGGCATATGCACCATTTACGCCACAACAACATCCATACCTGGACCCTCCACCTCCTTATGCCGGACCAACACAAGCACAAGGCCAAAGTCCAGGCTCAGCATTCGAACTCATCGACCTCATCGACGATTATCTAGACGACTTTGACGATGCTCCCGCTCATAGTCTCACAGCAGCTGGTTCTGGATCCCACCTTCGCCAGCCCTCGGCTGTTCCTCAGCCCATTACCTTCCACAAGGAGCAAACCACGGCTTTTACGACACGGGAGGTATTGGTAAAGGATGAAAAGCCGCCTCTTCTTCCACCAAAAGTCCCGGAAAGACAGCAAAGGCCTGGTACACCCAATGGACAGGGTACGCAGGGACAAACATTCCAGGCTTACTGGCCCGCGGCAAATAATCCGCCTTCGTCGTTGAATTTGGGGGAACAAGCGACGGGGAGGCCAGTGAGTAGTGGGACTAGAGGTAGTGAGACGCCGAGGCATGAGCATCCAAGTGTTCTACAACCGGGAGGAGGAAGGGGATTGTCTTCGCCTTTCCATGGCCGGCCTCGAACTGCTCAAGATGCGCATTATGGCGACGGACATCACCAGCATTACCAGCAGCAGCACCAAGGACATGGGTATGCTTATGGTCTTGCTTATGGCAATGGAGGACACCAATGGCCTACGATGATGGATATCCCCCCCGAAAGGCAACCTCAAGGGGACTATCACAGCCCTCACACACAGCAGCACTTCCGCAACCACAACAATCTTAAAGTGCAGACTAGCATGCCCACCCTCCGACCTGGTCCTCCCCTGTCATCTTCGAGCCATCTCTCTCCATATCCCACCCCTTCTCCGTCAGCATATGCATTCGAACCCCCCTCCGCGGCGCCACGAAGCCCAAGTGGCCCAGTCCCTCCACTTCCTCAACGAGCAGCAACTACCGGCCATGGAGGTCGTTTCGGTCCACCACCGGGGCTGGGAAATGACGAATATCGCCAGCAGCCGCATACTCCATTGACACCTCACTCGCCGTATCCGCCTTCATACAACATGTCAGCTAGCAGCCCGAATCGATGCGGAAGTGCTCTACCCAGTCCCGGACCACCCGAAGATCCCGGGACTTTCGGATCGGGACAAGCCGCCTGGAACGGAGCAAGCGGAGCGGGGCCCACTTTTGACGGCCTGGGCTTTCCCGGACCTCCACCGGGCCCTCCACCACCCCGCGCTGCGACGACGACGGCAGCTATCCCTTTCCCTCCTCCTCCTCCACCGCGGCTGCCGGGACCGCCACCGCAGACGTTGGGTTTCCCGGGGCATCATCCTCACCCTCAACTAGCTCAAGCATTTCCTCCTCCTCCTCCTCCTCCTCCTCCACCACAATGTTTGCCCGAGCGTCCGCATCCCCATTTACAGCATGCCAAGACCTTTGCCATAGCGAAACCACCGCACCCACAACAACAACCCCAACTCCACCACTCCCAATCCCTCCCACAGCTCCAACTCCAACAATCCGAGTCCTCCAAAAAGGAAGAGACAAAAGGATTCTGGTCCAACGCCCTCTCCGAAACCGCCTACCTCGCATCGGGCCTCATTTCCCACCCCTTTGAGTCCACCAAGCACTACACCATTCTGCGCCACTCGCCGGCTGTCATCTGGCACCACGGCCCCAAAACGACCGTGACCATCTCTATCTTTTCGAGTCCCAAGTACCCGCTTCCTGCTTTGCCTTCTTTGCCGCCTGCTGCTGGTGTCAGTTCGGATGTAGCCAGGAATGGAAATGGATGGTCGTTGTGGATCCAGCAGCGCGGGTTTTCTGGGGACTCGGGGATGAAGATCAAGAATTGGTTAGGTGGACGGGAGGATTGGGTCTGTGTGACGCCTGCTAGTAAAGTTCTGGCTGAGGAGTTGGAGAGTGGAAGTGCTGGCAAGACGGGTGGACAAGGATTGTTAGGGTTGGGAGGGGCAACGGAAGAAAGGGGGTGGAAGAGGGATATCAAGCGGACGGAGAAGAAGCTGAAGAAGGAGTTCGGCGACAAAAAGGGACATGTGGCACGCTTGACGGCTGTGGTGCGGGTGCCGGAGGGGTGTGAGGACGGGTATTTTCGGGTTCATTTGTGCGTCAACCCAGATGGTTCAGAAATGGACGACGAGAAAAGGAAGAAAAGTGAGAAAGATCCACAGCCGCTGCTTGAAGAGCAGCGGAAAAGGACGAAGGTGTTGTGCTCGAGCCCGATATTTAGGTTGGCGAGTACATCCACTGACCCTTCGTCCATCCGCGGCGCCTCTCTGTCGACCATGCCGCTGGAAATGGGCCTCTCTCTCACCTCTTTTATCGCGTCGGAGATGGTCGCCTCCAAAATTGCGCCAATCAAGGACCCAATCACTAAAATCATCGACCCCTACCGAGCGCATCCCATCGTTGAAGAACTCGGAATCATTGCTACCGAGGAGGTCAAGGCCGCGAGGGAAGAGGCCGAGGAGGAGGAGCAGGAACGGTTGAGGGAGTTGTTTGGTGCTATGTGTGTTGTTGCTGGTGCTGGTTCTGCTGCGGGTATGGCGACGAGGAGAGGGCCAGAAGGAAGTCAACAAGGGAGCGGAATGCCGGGCGTGGTTGGGCCCGACGAAGGACCGCTAGCGCCGCTGCCAATCCGGTTCGGAGGGAAAGTGGTCCCCGGGACGGGAAGAAGCACAGCGGAAATGGGCATCCCCACAGCCAACCTCAAAGACCTACCAGAGGAAATCAAGCACTACTTCAAAGGCGTGTATTTCGGCTATGCTCGCATCATTCCCGGCAAGGGTGGCCCCATTGGCCCCGGTGGCCCAATGGAGGAGGTCTGGTATGAAGCGATCATTTCTTCGGGCCCGGTGCCGTACGCGAAGAAAACAGCTGTTATCGTGGAACAACAGACCACGGTGCACCTCATCACCGACTTCGGTGCGGGCGTAACCTTCTTTGGAAGCAAGGTGGAAGTGTTGGTCATGGGTTTTCTGCATCCAGTGTTGGACTATCGCGAGACTGGCCCGCAGTACCGGCTCGACGCCGCTCACCAGGATGTCGTCCTTGCCCTAGCTAGTCTCAACCGGCCGAAATGGACCGCCCAATCCACCCTTCAACGCATGGAAGCCGCCGAAACCAACCATGACGGGGAAAGGGGTTTAATAGGAGGATTCAAGAAGACCAAGGTGGTGGAAAAGGGACAGGAAGTGAAAGAAAAGATTAGCGAGGCAAAGGATAAGGTGGCGAAGCAGATCGATCGGATACCGGTGCATAAAGTGGGAATTAGAAAGGACGATGGCAAGGCAAGGGATCGGTATTATGGGACGGGAGGGTATTGGATTCACAGGTGTTAAGGAGTTATGGTTTCACTTACGGACGGGATAACCGAAAAGTATCTCTAACTGTAATGTATTGCTCTAATGGAGATGATAGTAGAAGACTACCCAAGCAAGGTGTCGCACAAAGCGAGGACACCTCCCCGGGCTGGCCGCTAGAGAACAAATGATATCTCAGAGACGGTTGGTCCAACCTATACACGTCAACCCCAAAGATACCAGACCCTCACCCCACCAGTGCTGCTGTCATGTTCCATGCCGGATACTCAATGCTGCCCCGGAATCCCCGCCAGAATGTCGTCAAAAGTTGTGGCTCTTTGCCTCCTCCCTGTCGCCCAACGATGTACTCTAGACCCATTCGCATTCCCGCCGTTACTTGCGCCTCCAGTTCCAGGAGTCACGTCGTAATCTGGATCAGCTTCTTTGCGCTTGCCGGTCAGGAAGCGAGAGATGCGGGAGAGGGTACCTTCTCGCTTCAGCTTCGAGCTTCCGTCTTGTTCTTGGGGTGGCGATGGCCGAGGGTCCCAACTGGGGGTGGAGGCAGCACGGCTTGTGCGAGTCGTGTTGGAGCGCGGGAGGGTTTCTTTTTCCGAGTAGCGGTGACCGTCACGCTCTTTCTTGGTGGTGTTTCTCCTCTCCACACCCTTCTCGTCGCCGTATCCGGCATCTGCCTTTTCCCTTCGACCCTCCCTGCGACTGGGCCTCCTATCCGGCTTCTCCCTGATACTAGCAATACGATCCATGACGGAATCTACCCTCTTCCTCGTGCTATATCCTCGTTTAGGCTTTTCGTCATCCCGTCGTACCGCGTTATGGTCACCAAATGGATCGTGATCCGGCCCTTCTTCAAGGACGTAGCCTGGTTCTGTACCGTTGTTGATCTCTGGGACCTCGACACTAGGTAATGGCGTCGGAGGCTTGACTGGGAAGAGTTTGCCGTAGGTGGCGCCGGGTGCGCCCTCCCATAAGGTCCCATCGGTGTTGTCGCGGTAGGTGTAGACCTGGGTATCGGCGTCGTAGCCTATGCGGGTCATGTTCTCGGGTAGACGGTCGGCGTCTGTGTCGAGCTCTTTCCAGCGGCCCATGGCAACTAGATAGTCTGCTGGGTTGGGTATTCTGCTGCTATAGGTTATCGGTGAAGAGATCGTAACGCGGTATCGGAGATGTACTGGAGGAGGTGGTGGTAATGGTGACGGCGTCGATGATATGGGGAACAATCTAAAATAGGTAGAGCAGTTGTCGGATGACGATACGGATGCGGGTGTGGACAGTCGTAGTAGGAGGAAGGTCGCCGTGATGGTAATCAAGTGTGGTTCAAGGCTAGGAAACTTTCTGTTTGGAATCAATTTGGAGTTGATGATAGCGTTTGTTGTTGTTGCTCTGATGGATGTTTCCTTTCGGGGTCGTCAGGGTCCTCAGAGTGGATGCGGGAGGAGCTTGGACGCCGTGCGGGTCGGACGATGATGTCACCTTTGTTTGTGTGTTACCCCTGGCCAGCGACTGATTCGGTTGGAATGGCAACGCCCACGTCAAGGTGCTAATTTGCCCAATTTGTTTCAGCTTGGTGATGATGATGCTGTGGGAAGGATGTTCCTAGGAATTCAAGGGTAGAGGGAAGTGTTGGGATCTTTGTAGGAATTGCGCATGAGTGATGGACAGAGGGAAATATGGGGACGGACAACGCTGGATGGAGACGCACTGGAGACACTGGAGAATCTGGGGAGTCTGGCAAGTTTGGACCCCTATCCCATCCTCTAAGCCTCCGTGATCAACGACTTGTGCGCCGCTCATTGGACACGACGCCTGTAACGTCGAAACGGATTGACAACTGACAAGTGTAAACACGAGAAGACCAGCCGCACTGGAGACTCTGGCTCAGCTGTTCACTGCCCCTTACGGACCGACAAAACATCCAGGGGCAGCTGCAGAGAACGGGAGTGCGTAACACGTCACTTCCTTCCGATCCCGCTCGCCATGTCATAAGGTCAAACGTACCTCCAAAGCAGCGACGTGACGGGCGGCTTGGGTCTATGAGTATTATAGTTTCATTACACCCCTATTGAGTCTAGCTGTTGGCTTGTTTCGTTACACTATTTACATCATCCACAGTTTCTCGCACCAACTGCAGATAACAGAGGAAGCCCTCCTGGGTATCCAAACCACAACCACACAGCCTCAGAATATCATCCATCCGGCTAGTAGATACCAGGGACAATTCTCCACTTGACAAGCTTCTTGTACTTTTCCCAAGCCTCGCCATACTTCTTGGAGCACTTCTCGTCATCTCTGAGGTCGCGGTGGATCAAGAGAATGGCAAAGTACAAGATGTAAAAGTAAGTGAAAACAATACCCCAGCCTCTCGCCTCGCCCTGGACAACTTCGCGCCCGTCGAGCATGGTAATTGCACCAGGAGCATTGCTGCCGGCGCTCAAGATCTGGTAGCCAGCAATGCCGGTCGGGAGAGAATAAGGCCAGCTCTGAAGCCAGTCACCGAGATAGTTGATGTGGCGAGCGATGCCCCACCATCCCGAGGTAATGAGTCTCGATCCAGTCTTGGTCTGGAGGTAGGTAAGGTGCTTAACACTGGGATCCTCGGGGTTCCTGCGGAAGTTGTTCTTCTGCGAATTGGACAGGCGGAAGATGCTATAGCCAGCAGCCAGGACAGCACCAACAGCAATCAGTCCGAAAGCGCCCAGCTGCTGAGGATGGACGGCAAGGTAGCGAGTCTGAGTCGAGTACATGAAGGGCACCCAAACGACATCTCCGAAGCTCAGCATGAACCCGAAGCCGTCGGTAGTGATATCCATCGTAGTCAAGACGGCCGGCTCCATGTAGATTCCGTCAAAGACATAGAAAGCCTGGATGGCGGTGATGAAGAGAATCGAATCGGTGACGTAGCCGTAAAGGCGGTATTGCTTGGCGATGAAGGCGCAATTGAGAATGATCCAGCCCAGAAGACCAGGGCGCATTTCCATGAATTCCTTAATGTCTACTTGACCGATGAGGGGAAGGGTGATGCGAGGATTGAGCTCGCGACCAATGTAGAAATCGTAGATGAGGGAGCCGGTGACACCGCCTGCTGCTAGCTGGCGCATGTCCTTGTTACCCGGCTTCACCTCAAAGCTGCGGACGTAGACGAAGATGGCGAGGGCGAAAGCGAAGAGGATATTGGCGCTGATGATCTGGGCAAAGTTGTCGGAAATGAAAGTCCAAACGGGGAACTCGGCGCCCTGAGCGATAGTGCCGGCAGCCAGGATGGCCAAGGTGCACATGGCCGAGTTGAAAGCGTTCAGCTTGTACTTGAGCCGGCCGCCGGTGCTCAGCTCGGTTCCCTCGACGTGGTGGCCGGGGAGAAAGCGGTATTGAACGAGCGAAAGGGCGTAGTAAGCCAAAGTCCACAGCGTGGCGGACCACGAGAAGAGGCCGAAGACGCCATTGTCAGGCCAGCCGATTTCGCGCTTGAGCTGGGCGAGGTCGAGAGACTTGGGGTGGAGGAGCGAGGGCGCGGGGCAGCCCGAGATGTCGTTGCAGAAAAGGTTGAAGACGTGGACGAGAATAGGGAGGCCAAAGGTGATGCCAAAGGCGCCGATGCTGTTTGATTGTCAAGCTTGTTAGCCGGGCGCGGCCTGAACAGACGGACGAGATGGAGTCAGGGGTTCAGTTCCGTTTTGGGTGACTTACGGGCCGCCAAACTCGTAGTGCTGCTGGCGCGGCGCAACCCCCTTCTTTGCGGCAGCTTGGTTTTGTTTCCCGGCGGCCATGGTGATGATGGCTGTGATGCTGTAGACGACAACACGGAAAGCGGGGAGAGGATCAAGCTGCCTTTTAAAATGTTCAGCTCCCCCCGATGTTGGTCGTGGGACAACTCAGCTGGCAGCCAACCAAAACAACCGGAACAGTGACGGTCCCCGGTTCGGACGAAGAGGAACCAAAGGACGGGAGCTTCGTTGTGCCAATTGACTGCTTCAATTGCCGGCCGGTGGAGTCAATCGTGCCAGACGGATCTCTGCTTTCCGGCTGGGATCTCAAGTCTTGGCAATTTTCCTTGGCGTCTAAGTACCTACTTACTGTTTATGCTCAAAGTACTCCTGCTCACCCGATGTCCTCAAGTCGGTACTTTGCTTCCAGACGACCATATCCGCGTATTGCTGTCTCCTTCGCAACTGGAGACCCTGAATCGTTCTGCTGGATATCCGCCAGGTGAGCAATGGTACGATTCCATAGTTCGAGCCGCTATCTTGCCTGCTCCTCATGTCCAATCTCTCCTACCTGTTGGAGCAGCAATGTACCTTGGCGAATTCCATCTCGAGTGTGGATGTACCCCTGATCTTCCCGGTCCAAAGGGATGGGCCAATCATGGAAGACCTTGGATCTTGCTGGCCACTCAAAGACAGGGCAGCCTTTCCTTCCATTGCTCGATTCAGTTTTGTTCCAGTGACGACAACCAGGCACTCTTTGTTCTGCGCGCCACTTCCAGAACGGAAAGCCATCACCTAACAATTCCCACTACTGTATGACAAAAAAACAACCATTTCTTACCAACGAATTGATCTACAACCTCAACCCCGCGACTCCATCAGCAGCCAGATCCCGATCCAGACCCAATTCTTGGTCGATCCAAAGTTCTATACTACCACTGAGTGCATGCAATAACCCCTCCTGACGCCGCTGCCACGAGTCACAATCATCACCACCACCACCACCTTACCACGAGCGAGCGCCACCGAGCGCCTTGCCCATTTCAGTTCCATCTCTCCCACTTTGTTCCATCACCAGTCCCGGTCCCAATACACCAAAATGCATCCCCCAAGTCCCAACCGGCTCCTCTCGAGCCTAGTTGCCTTCTGCGCCCTGACCGGTGCTGCCCACGCCTCCGATGACGAATCCTCCTCCGCGTCGCCCTCCCCATCAACAACAGCCACCACAACCTCCACCGTAACACCCTGCGTCGCCACCTCCACCAACGGTGCCTTCTACGACCTCCGTCCCGACATCGCCGTTGTTCCCGAAAAGGGCGTCAAGCTCGCCCGGGGTACGCACACCCAAGACTACCAAGCACGCGGTTACGATTACGGATACAACATCACGCTCAACATATGCGCCCCTGTGGTGAAGGGCGTCGAGGATGTCGTGGGTTTGACGAGCGAGGCATGGAGCAAGGTCGGTGCCTGGTATGAAAAGGGTGGAAAGGTACACAGCCTAGGGCAGGAGTCGGGAGCATTGAAGCCGAGAGGAAGGAAGCTGGTGCTGCAGTATACAGGAGGGTCGCCGTGTGAACCACCAGACGATCACAAGGACGACAAACGGAAACGAAGCACCGGTGTTCACCAAGGCGCTGCGTACAGCAAATACTCGGACGACCAAGACGAAGATCGTGATGACGACCAGACCGACTCCGACTCCGACAAGCGGAAACACAGCAACGCATCCAAAAAGAAAATCCGCCGCAAGTCCGCAACCATCTCCTTCCTCTGCGACCGCTCCCCCGACACTTCCACCGCCGTCTCCTTCGTTGGCACCGATCCCGACGAATGCTCCTACTTTTTCGAGGTCCGCTCGCAACACGCCTGTGCCGGAGCCGAGCCACATAAACCGGGGTCCGTGGGTCCCGGAGGAGTCTTTGCCATCATCTTCTTCATTGCATTGGCGGTGTACGTCATTGGTGGTATTTTCTACCAACGCACCGTCGTGAAGCAAAGAGGGTGGAGGCAGTTGCCCAACTATACTCTATGGGCCGGTATCTGGAGCTTTCTCAAGGTAGGACGTGCTGTTTCCTCTTGGCTCGGTTCCTTTGTGCGGGTGCGGGATCGCAAAGAGATGAGCAAGGTGTAGTATGAATGATAAACTGCGGGGGCGTGAACTGGTGAGGGAGCAGAAGCCGGCTTTGGTTGATACTTTCTACGGAGCCATCATGCTAACTATTGATTGCGCAGGACATCTTCGTCATCCTCACTTCGTCCTGCGCTCGCTTCTTGCCTCTTCGCCGCGGGTATCGATCGTTGAACACGTCATCTCGTGGCCGATACGGTAACAACGACGACGAAAATCGGTTGATCGATCAGCTTGATGAGGAGTGGGACGACTGATTTCAACCTAGTCGTTGTTGTAGAAGTGGGATAGGTATGCTTGTGGCTCGTTTCTTCCTTTTTTTGGTCTCGGAGTATCTGTTCTTCCAATGCTTCTCTTCTGCTCGAGGCTGGTCCTTTCTTGGTCTGGCCGCTTTGTCTATCCACAGCATCATTGGACCGGTGTCCGGTGTTCGGTGGTATCGCGAGACCCATGAAGCTCTTGGCACTTGAGGCGCAGCGGATAGTTTTTGGTTATAGACTTTTGTATACATTTTTTTTTTCCATCGCAACCCTTCGTCCAGTGTACGCAGGGACAGAGATTCTGCTGTGTGAACCCCCCTTTTTGCTACAAGGTCTCGTGCCCTGTGATCCGGCTGCTTGTACCGGACTTGCAGTCTTCGCGCAGGCTTTCTTGCCTTTTATAAGCACAGCGCTAAACGCATCCGGTCATCGATTCCTCCATGCTTCCGGTTGTACTGAAAATGTCGGATCCCAAGCCTTGCAATCCCGCTAGCAAGCTGCGGGTAGGGTTTCAGGCAAGTAAAATCCTGTTTCCGTTGCTAGTTTTGTTGACAAAACGTTCGGAACAGGAGGGTTAGTCAGGGGGGCGGCGAGGTGGTATTGAAGCGTACCCCGGAACTCAACACTCGACCGCAACGACAACTCTTTTTTCGACGTCGACCTCTATCCATACGTTCTACAAGTCCTTTTTATCAGGAGTTTTGACTAGTCAATGGATTTTGTTGACCTAGTTTGACATCTCAAATTGTCATGTCTGACATCTTCTACCGTCGCCGTCTGAGTAACCACAACTCTCGGTTAAATGCCGCCCCTCGATCCTTGGCAGCCGCCCATCGACTACTCCCAAATTGTCAACGGCGCACCATCCGCCGTTTCCCGGTTTCCGGGACCGTGGCTTACCATCCCCAGACACATTCCCCCACGGCACTGTCACTCCGTCTTGCCGAATCTGCGATGCCAAGTAGATTAACCACTCCATTCTAGCCCAGTTATGTTCATTCAGTCTACCGATCCTCGTCAGCAGAGACTGAAACAACGCCGCACCGCGTTCCCGATCAAGCCTCCTTGCGCCCCTTTCGTGTGCGGTTATGGCACCTACACCAGACTTCAGGCGTCACTATGCCCCCCCCCCCCCCCCTGCTTGCCGCTCCGAAGTGGCCGGGGATGGATTCCCGGAGCAAGATCATGGGAATGACAGGACCAGCACTTAATGGGGATGGCAGTTGGATTCATGCTCTGGGGTTGGAACCCAATTTAGGGGACTGGCTGTGCCGTATCGCCGATGCGGTCCTTGGATCAAGTCCCAACTATCACAGACAGGATAAAAAGCTCAACCACACCCATAGAACGTTCTCTCTCTCTCTCTTTCCAGATCGCTCACGACATCCTCTACGTTTCACTCACGCACCAGCCCAACATGCGGTCCACTCTCCTCACCGGCCTCATCGCCGGCCTACTCTCCCAACAAGCCGCCGCCCACGCCACCTTCCAAGCCCTTTGGGTCGACGGTGCTGATTATGGCTCGCAATGCGCTCGCGTCCCTCCTTCCAACTCCCCCGTCACCGATGTGACTAGCAATGCCATGAGGTGTAACGCGGGAACTTCGCCTGTTGCGAAGAAGTGCCCTGTCAAGGCGGGAAGTACGGTCACTGTTGAGATGCACCAGGTATGCTGCCAGTCTCCTACTCTCGTCAACCGCCGGCTTCGCCCCTGAGGGTCTTTCATGCGGAGATGGTTCTCAAGAGCTACCCGCTTTTCCCTCCCTCTCTCCTCTTCCCTCTTCCCTCCACCCCCCCTTTCCACCCCGCCTGTTCATGTTCGCCTCAGTCATACCCTCCCGTACCAACGCTAACCTATAAACAGCAAGCAAACGACCGCTCCTGTTCCTCCGAAGCCATCGGTGGCGCTCACTACGGTCCCGTCCTCGTGTACATGTCCAAGGTCTCCGATGCCGCCTCCGCCGACGGTTCCTCCGGCTGGTTCAAGATCTTTGAGGACACCTGGGCCAAGAAGCCCTCCAGCTCCTCGGGCGACGATGATTTCTGGGGCGTCAAAGACCTCAACTCGTGCTGCGGCAAGATGCAGGTCAAGATCCCCTCGGACATCCCCGCGGGTGACTATCTCCTCCGTGCCGAGGTTATCGCGCTTCATACCGCCGCAAGCGCGGGAGGTGCCCAGTTGTACATGACCTGCTACCAGATCTCCGTTACCGGTGGTGGCTCCGCTACCCCGGCGACTGTCAGCTTTCCTGGTGCCTACAAGAGCTCCGACCCTGGTATCCTCGTTGACATCCACAGTGCCATGAGCACCTACGTCGCCCCCGGACCGGCTGTGTACTCGGGCGGAAGCTCCAAGAAGGCCGGAAGCGGCTGCGTGGGCTGCGAGTCTACTTGCAAGGTTGGCTCCGGCCCAACTGGAACTGCTTCTGCCGTCCCAGTTGCAAGCACGTCGGCGGCTGCTGGTGGCGGAGGCGGTGGTGGGAGCGGTGGCTGCAGCGTTGCAAAGTATCAGCAGTGTGGTGGAACCGGCTACACCGGGTGCACATCCTGCGCTGTGAGTGTCCTCCTGTTTAATGATCGAGTTGAGGGTTGGCTGGCTAACGTGACTTTATCTAGTCCGGATCCACCTGCAGCGCTGTCTCGCCTCCTTATTACTACCAGTGTGTCTAAACACCGCGCTCAATTACCGACACGATGGGGATCCCTTGGCAGGTTCTGACGAACGAGCAACAAACGGGATGTCGAAGTTCATCGCTTCGCAACAAACATATTTCGCTGTACATAAGTTATCTGGGTTTGGGTCTTGGTCTATTGATGGCTGGGTCTGAAGTTGTACATATCCTGAATCAGAGTCGTCGAGACTTCACACTCATGTTCAAGCATCAACGTGCTTTTGATGTGTATGCTTAGAGGTAAGCTGCAATCTTGGTTTGGGCTAGCTTACAGGTCTGTTTCAAGACGATGATTATGTCAAGTTGTGTCAAGTCTTGAAAGCCATGTCACGTCAAGTTGTACAGTTATAGGAATGGTGCGTTCACAAGTGGCATCAATGGGTTGAATCGGTTTGGGCTGCGACTGCGCCATTTTCCCGGTATATTCACCTCATCCTCTTCCTAATTTTCAGCAAGCACTCTCCAACGTTTTGCCCTTTGTTTCCGCCTTCAGATTCCTCTTCGGTTACCCCTTGTTGTTTCTATCCCTCCTTGTCGTTCCTTCTTGGTGTTGTTCCTTCTTGGTATTAATCCCTTCCTTCCCATCCTTTCTCATCTGCTCACTCTTCCCAAGACCTTCTCCTACCTGTGGTAGTACCACCTATCTCCGCTCGTCTCTCCCACCCTTAGACACGCCGGACAATACTCGTCGCTAGTCCTCCCATCGAGGTAGGTATCATGACGCCATCTCGATCGGATACAGGGAGGGCGGTTGGTGGGTCCGCACTTGACGAGGCGCTCTGTGGCTACAGAATACCCACCTCTGGGGTAAAGTCCGCCATTGCGGCCTTGCCAGCCGCAGTCAGAATGGCAGTTTTCGCCGTTGAGGCAGTACTTGTATGTGTAACCGACGCGGCACATCCTGGCTCTGTGTTTGATGCTTGGGGGTTTAGCTGCTAGGTCGATAGGTAGGTAGTTTGGGATCTTTTGTGGTTGAAGAAGTGGTTGTTTCGGCGAAGAACGTGTAGGGTGACGATTACAGATGTCTTTCTGGCTTGAGAATCCTGCGTTCGCTTGCTTGTGTTGTTGCCTTTTGGGTTGGGGTAAGGAAGCAAAATCTGGGTTGTTCTGGCGAGACTCGAAGGCTTTAATTTAAATACGTGGTCAAAGGACGTCATTTTTTTTAAAGGTTGACCGTGAGACCACCCCGTCTGTAGTTGTGGTGGTGAAGCATCTCATGGGATGGTGAATGATCTTCGTTGCGTTGGGCTGCTGTAGGTGGATAGGGTGAAGTTTATGCTAGCTCAACTATGGGATTATAGAGGTAGCGTTCATCCCAGTGCTTCTACAGCACTTTGATGGCTTCACAGCCGCGTTACAGCGTGGACATGGCCCAGCAGACCACGGAGGCAGGTTTAATGATGCTCGGAGCCCGGCGGATGGAAGATGAGGTGTTGGATCGTTGATCACCACCAGCTAAGAGAACCCCGATGACTTTTCGCTTTCACCTGGCTTAGCTCAAATATGATTTACCATGAATCCATCTTCAAGATACCAGATCCGTACAGGCCGGAAGACAGAGTTGAATTTGGATGCTAGAGCAATTTGACACCCAGAGCAATCTCAGGACGAGATCTACGAGTCTTTCACAGAGAAAGTGTGCGTCAATATTATAGTGCATACCTCTAGAGGTATATAATATGATTCACAACCAAGGTTGATCAATTATGAGAAAAAACAATTTCAGCAATGAGGGTTACCATTGATGGTACCTACCTACCTACCTAGTACCTAGGTAGGTAGCGTAGAGCTAGGTAATAGCAATATAGCATCGAGAGCCGCAAGTAGACTCAAATCTGCTTATGTGAGGAAGTTGTCAATCAGATGATAAGCACATATAGTGTACCTCTGTGAGACTTGAGCTAGGTAGGTACGACTAGGTATATTTTGAGGTTTCAGCGGGCTTGGTTTGATCATGAGTGGCACTTAACTTCATACCTCTAAGCTTCAGAGGAGAGTTGAAGCTTAGATTCCATGTCAATTTGCGCTTCTTGAAATGTTACGAGCGTGCCTCCTGTTCGACGAGCCTGTTTCCATGATTTTCTTTCTTGATTGTTCTTCCAACGGCTTTCCCCTATATGTTTTCCATTCCAGTCTTCCCACTGGTCTTCCTTTTTCCAGCCTCCTTCCTCAAGAACTTTCTGTCCGGAGTACCTTTCTTAGCCACGGTCTTCTGCTGCCCGTCTAGCGTCTTCTTCTTCTTCCGTGGCTCCTGGAAGCGCTCTCACACTGAGGGCACATGTTATCACTCTCATTGGTGTCTCCACCGACGTACTCCTGGCCGGAGCAACCGCGGTACCTCAACCCTGAGCATTCACGCCTGAGCATGATCTCCCGAGCGTATGGTCTCACGTATGTCTCTCCAGCACGGTTGACCCAGCCGTTATCGGCGACGCAGCTTGCTCCTTGGGAGCAGAAGTGGAATTTGTACCAGATTTGACACATCTTGGCTTTTCCTGCTTTCTCGGGTTGTTAGATACCTGTACGCTCTGTGTGTAGGTAGACTCTGTAAGTGTCTTGATCCTTACCTGTGTGCTTGCCTGCGTTGTTTTATACCTTCTAGTTTGGGCTATCTGGTTTGGTGTAAATGGTTTGGGTGGTAGAAGGAAAGCTTCTATCAGGGCATAAGTTGGAGGCGTTATATGTACTTACCTACGACTATTAGACTTTTGTACTCATCACAGTAAATCCGAGAGCGGCTTGTGATGTTCCCAAAAGTAAATAGTGGTCGACGTGAAGGGCCCATGAAGGGAGGAATTGAAGGTTATTGCAAGTGAATACCTCTAGGTACCTTGATCTCCAACCATCATCAATCTCATCCCAAATGCTTGCCAAGTAAACGAACGCTTTTTGATTCCATTCACCACCTGCACCGAACGGCGATGTTGCAGAGTACCTACCTATTTACAGATACCTAGAGGTACCTATCATTCTCTTGTATGGATGCTCAGGTTATAATCTTGGCGGCAGAACCTTGCCACAACATTCGGTAAAATCCTCCATAGCGGGGTCTGTTTTTCTTTCTTTTACTATAGTGAATGGTGGTAAAACAAGGAATTACTCTACTTTGAAGAGCAGGACTCTTCACTGGATTCCGGGCCCTTGATTCGCCCGCAAACGGATATCCCACTTCACCACGACTTGGTATCCAGTACTTGGGAAAAGAGATAAAGCCTATTGCCATTTAGTTCGTGTGGGAGCTTATGTGATAGTATTTTTACGTTGTAAATGGGCGTGAGCTCCAAAAGAGTTGAGGGTGTCCCACCAGGGGCAGGTGCTATGGATTAAACAATTTCGGCCCTTCAGCAGCCCTTTCACCGGGCTAGCGCCAGCGAGTGTTTACACAGAGATGTGCGCGATGACGCCTTTAAATTTGAGCTCTTTGATATCTACATTGTGTGAATCCAGGCGCTGCACGTAAATCTTACGAGTACAAACACAGCCCTATTGACTGCCTTCCACACCCGACTGTGAATTTAACCGTCATCTTTCCTTCCGTCCGCTGATTCCTTCCGTAGAGGTACGTTGGAAGATTTCAACAATCATTTCAAACCCCTCCCATCACTCAAGTGTCGTTTCATGTCGAATTCGTTCACCGCTTCCACATGCAGGCCTCAAATTCCTTTTAAATATTTTGTTGGAAGAGGTAAAGACGAGGAATTACAGCCTGGGCAGGCCAGTGAATGGTGCAGGCGGCTTTGAGCTTTACCAGAGTTGGCAAATAAGGCAAGTCTCCTCACTGGTCTTGGTTTCGGAGCCAGGTCCCAAAGACCTTCTTTGGCGGCAGTCATACCCGCGCTCAAAGTTGGAGCAACGACGAATGCGCACAAACTGTGCGTAGGACTTGGCGTAGGATTGGCCCTGACTGTTGACCCAGCCGTAGCCCCCGCGGCAACGGGGACCTTGGGCGCAGTACTTGTATTCAGTGTATGTGTAGCACATACTGGCGCTCTCTGATGGCGAGAACGTTAGGTATCATCTGGCCGTTTAGTTGTAGTTGGGTAATTTCGCACTTACATTTGCCTCGGTACCTCTAGGGATAGGTAAAACGGGGATTGTTGGATTTCAGATGTTTGGTGTGACAAAGAGAAAGAACTCACCGATGGTGGGTTTTATGCTGCAGCGGTGCCACTGTCAAATATTGAAACCTCAAAATCTTTCACACGGGAAATTATTAAGTCAATACCAAAGGAACGAAATGCCCGTGAATCACCTTGGTTGTGAATGGTAAGACGCGGATGGTGAAGGCCATTAAGAGACGACGGTAGGCTCTAGAGACCTGTAAGCACAATTGATCCTCCACTAGAGGTAAACTGCATCTCTGCGTGATTCATTCACTGGAGCTGGACTGTAAGAACCTTAAGCCTCAACCTTTTTCTCCATCTGCCTGAATCTCATCCCAGGGTCAAAGAACACCTTCACCTTTTGCTACTCTAATTTGTCATTCACAACGGCAACCACGATCTTCTTGATAGAGGTAGGTAGCACGAGGTATCGATCGGTCCTCCATACGCCTGGGGCGTCACTTCACTCCATTTCAGTTTCGCTGCAAGATCAGCATTCAATTCCCTCATCCCTTAGTCTCCCAGACTCACTTGATTTACTCACTTGTTGGTTCGCACGTACTTTAATCTTCCATGATTGCCCCCCAATGCCTGAACCTGAAGGCTCACGTCGGCGGTTCATTAAAGAACCCTGGCACCTCCCATGGAAAGGTTGGCATCATCTCCCCAACTTGACCGTCTAGTGGTTTGCGTCAAAGCTCGAATGAAACAGACAGTCGAACTCGTTCGGTTCAGTGATGGCGTTGTAGGTGCTGACTGGGAGCATGTGCTCTCCGGATTGCGGTAGCGCGCCGTTCACTGGGAAGTTGTAGAGGGGGCGTTGGTAGTGCGCCAGTTCAAAAGCGAGGTCTTGTAGAAGGCTTTTGTTTTCCAGTTCTCGATGAAGGGAGTCTGGCGCTCGGCTCTGCCCGCCAGGTGTGGTGGCATTGATCCTTCAAGTTGGCACCCCCGTCAGGGACATGGCTGAGAAAAAGCGGAGCCAGTTTGAGGTGGCTCTACAACTGAGGTATTTGGGTTTTATCCTTTCTGTGGTCACCGAGGTATGTTCATGCTGTGCCTAGGGCAGAAATCGTGTCAGAGAATGAGGTGAAGGCCGAATGGTCAAAGAAATACTCAAGGTATGTTGTGAAACACGAATATTCTGTCATGAAGACCGGATCTAAAGTTCGCAAATCATGGTTACAAAACGTACCAGCTCGAAGAATGAGCGTCTGATTGACGTGTTGGAGAGTGCGCCACACTGCACCAGCCACCCCCTGAGCGCCACAGCTCAGACGTTGACCATGCTTCATGGCAAAACCACCACCATCACTTTGGTATGTCAAGCAAGCAGGATCCAAAATTGCATTCAAACACTGTACAAAAATACTTCCAAGCCCCTGAACCATCTGCGGAAACAATGTAAGTCTGACTCTAAGTCATAATCATAGACAATAAGGACGGGGAACAAACTACTATGAAGCACGCAAACATGTCCAGTCCTGGGAAACCCCGAATCCAACAAAACTCCAAATGAAGGGAAGCATGCAACACAATGAACAAAACCACTCCCCTACCACTTTCCACAAGGACCCGAAGGTGACTATTTCACCAATTATAACTCAACAATAAATTTCATCCCACCGCTGCTCTCTCTCAATTCCGCCAACCCCGGCGCGACGCTCTCCAGCCCCTTGCCCACAACTTTGACTCCTCCCGGGTGCGGAAATACGAACTTTCCTGATTCAATCAGCGCCGGTAACTCTTGAAGTGCGCGCTCACCATCGGGTTGATCCAAAATCATTCTTGAGAAGATCAGCGTCGCCTTGATACCGACGTCAGTAGGTACAGCGACTTTTCGACCTGTAGCCACTTCGGCGTACAGCTTGGGTCCATCTTTGCGAAAGACGCCCCAAAATGGCATGGCCTTCAAGTTTTTCTCATCCTTGACAGTGGTATTTGAGTCCAGGTCATTCGTGATGGTGGTCTCGTCTGTGTCACTCGACGATGGGATAGGGGGACCAGATGGTGTAAAGGGACCATCATCAAGGCAAGCAGCCCCCAAAACGCAATCGAGGATGGCATCCACTCCCTTTCCTCCAGTGAGGCAATGGACCTTCTCGATAAGACCTTCGAACTCGCCACGCAAATGGGCAGTGGCTCCGCGCTCATGGAGTTCACGGTAGTACTTCTTGCTGTTGGTGGCAGCGATGATGACAGCCTTGGGGCCTAGCGCCATGCGCAGGAGCTGAATGGCAGAACTGACAACTCCTGAGGAACCGCCTAGGACAAGAACGGATTTGACGCCGGATTCGTTTGCAGGGTGGTCCTTCAGTTCATCCGCGCTGGGATCCTTGGGCGAAGTCGTATCGATTGTCGGAGACTCAAGATTCAAGAGCGATGCGCTGCCTTGGCGGGCAGGCTCGCTGTTCGCCAGGAAAGGCAGCCGAATACCCAGCCCGCAGACAACCGCTGAGCAAGCCGTCATGTAAGCAAGTCTGCATCTCATTAGCACTTTGTTGTCACATCAATAGGAAGCGGGAAGAAACATGAACTCACGGGACACCAGCTGCCCACTGAAAAGGCCAACTTGCCGGCTTCCTGGTAGCCCAACTCTTGTGCACACACGTCACATCCTGGAAGCCACCAGATCTTCCAAGCCAAAACCCTTTCTTCTCCAGTTTGCCTTCAGGACCTCTTTCACCAACACTTTAACAAGGATTTTCCTCGCCTCCATTTCGCCTGCACCACTTATCCCATCATCACCTTTTTCACCAGGTCCATGTTCCTCAGGTCCCTCCTTCTCAGGAGGTCCTCTCCTCATGCCGACCGGCCCGCTCAGCCCAAACACCGCCTGACCAACCCTTAGCTCATTCTCCTGTACTCCCATTCCCACCAACTCAACAACACCCGCGATTTCAAATCCCAGGATTTCTGGCCATTTCTTGACCATGGTTTCATGCTCCAAGTTCTTCCAGTCGATATGGTTCAGACCGACGGCGCGGATACGGATGCAAACATCGTTAGGGCCCGGGACGGGGTACGGATCATCGCGCGAAACCTGAAGACTGGATGTGTAAGGAGGGCCGTTGGGGCAAGGCTTAACGGCCAGAAGACGAGAGATGAGTTGCTTTTGTTGTGTGGATGGGACATTGGCGGCGATGGAGGGCAGAGAATTCATGTTGAGAAAATCTATGATAGGCAGTCGATGGTTCTGTTGCTGTTGACGTTCGATGGAAACGAGAACAATGTGCGAATGTTCCCTTTTGCCGAGTTTAGAACGGGAGCGAAAGGTGGAAATGATCCAAGTTGGGTGTCAAAGTGGAGAATATCAGCTTGACGTGTTATCGAGATCAAAGGAGGGAGGCAAGTTACTCGGGACATCGATATACAAACCATGTGCGAGAGGCGACGCACGCTTTGTGAGACGACTTCTGTCTTTGCGCTCGCTCCTTGGCTGAACTTTCTTGCCTTGGTGAATAGTGCCCAACAGCAGGACGGGAAGCAAGGCAGGCATTGGCGACTCAAATCAAAGAGCGAGAATGGAAGGGGGCATTCCAGGGACACCTACGAAACTTGTTCAATCAGCAGAGAGGTATTTTTGGCCTACCCGCGCACCTAGTGAACCACTAGAGACCCGGCAATGAACAAAATCAGGAAACAGCAATTTGCACCTTGACAGCAGAGACAGGAACCTCCCGACCTCGGATATGTGACTCTTTCATTGCTCACTTCGATGTCTGTAAAGTGTAGGTAGGTATACGATGACCAAAAGCCACATCGCCAAACATTTTCCACCACATTAGGGCGACTCCTGTTATGAGTCCCAATCTTCACGTATCGCGACCTAATATTGGATTTGCTCTGCGCCGTGAAGAGTCACATCGCTAGGATGTGAGTCAACTGTGCAATCAAAGAGCAGATCATGGTCGATAAGCAATGATGCCGCCACGAAGCACTCATGTGTCATCAGCAGCCCTTGCTTTTCTAGCCACGAGGATACCAATCAATCTTCAAACGATCACCAACGGCAGTTTCCGAGTAACCAGTGCTCCAAGTCGCGCACAGACCCGCACCTCCCATATCCTGATCATACTGATCCTGGCAGATTCCAACACTCGGCCACGACTGCATATGGATAGTCCAGTCGGAGCAGCCATCAGAAACCGATCCACCGCGTTTCTGGTGCTTCTCATCCGCGTCACAGCCATACATGGGCGCCCTGAACCTCTGCAGGCACAGATTCTTGTCGAGTCTCACGGTGCAACCTGCCTTGGCAACGACGCTGGTGATGACTGTGGTGCCGTTATAGGGCCAGTAGGCAGCAGCAATGGAATTCTCCCCGTGCAACATCTTGTCAACAGCATAGCTGCCGAAGTTCCCGTCGTGTCCACCCTTGCAGAAGTAGTCAATGGCACGCCAGGAAGCTTTCTCGTCTGCCCACCAAGTCTCGTTATTGCAGCTCACGGCGATGGCGGTGGGATTCGGAAGTGTCGAGCTTGCTTGTGAAACGCTGAGTGTAGTAGCAGGTGCAACTGGCTTCACCAACTCCGTCGTGACAACTGTAGTGACAGCAGTTGTGACTGCAGTTCCCTCGACAAACATGGTAGTTGTATCAACGGCAACAGCTAGGACCGTACTTGTCTCCTTCACGGGACCGGCAACAGTATTCGTGGCGACACTTTTGCCACCAGTAACCAGCATGCCCGCCCAACTGTTCTCGTTGATCGTCTGTCCCCTCAGACTGTTTTTCAACCAACAATTCGGCTTCAACGCAATGCCTGCAATGTAGCTGAAGCCCAGACACTGAGCATACTCTGCACACCACTTTGCGCACTCTTCCCAACTGTGCCTCATGCCTGCGTTGAAGTTCCAGTTGGCCGCCTGATCATAGTGATCAATACCGCATTGAAGTTGGTACACATTATTCGTGGCATGGTCAGTCCAGAAGGTATTGTTGTCGCGTGGGCAGGAAACGAGGGTGGCTGAGGCCGAGGGTGAGAGGGTGACAACCGACAAGGAGCTGGAAGGAATGGGGGAAATAGGCCAGGGGATGGTGAGGGTGCTGCCACTCTCGGTGTCGCTGACAGTGGAGGTGAGAAAGGTGTTGGAAGTGACAATGGTCGGCTGGAGAGGACCGGTGTCGGTGGGACGGGCATCGGTGGGGATGACTGTGACTGGAAGTGGAAGTCGTTAGTACGCGGTCATCGTAGGTCGTGGGAAGGGGCTCAGAACTGGAGAATGGGGGCATAGAACTTGGCGCGAGGGTGTAAACAGCCATCCTGGTGAGGCCCAACACAGTCACACCCTGGCAGGTACTCGCGAATGTGAACAAGGGAGTCGGGACTCAGGAATGACTCACCAACAGCAGAGGGTTGAACCGCAACAACAGCCAGACCAGCGGCGTGGACTGACTGGACTCCAAGGCCACCAGCAAAGGCGATCAAGCCTGAAAGAAGGTGGAAGCGCATCGTGAAGAGGGAATTTGACTCTTAGGCGTGTCGACCTCCGATTGGAAGAAAAGAACGAGTGGACGCCGTCGACGACCGGCTTCTGGGTAGCGAATGTAAAGTTAACGATCGTGGGAGAAGTGACGAACGTTTCCCGCTGGAAGAGAGAAAGGTGGAGGGACGAAGGGAGGGAGATTGATGGCTGCCTGACGCGCTCTTATGGAAGTTGAGAAGGTAGCCCGGTTGGAGGGGGGAGAAGGCCGCAGCAAAAAAACGAAGGATGGAAGCGCGTTGGTCCGAGGAAATGACTGAGAGGAACCTGAGAGGAAAGTGACAAACGCGTCTTGCAGATGCCTTGAACGGATTTCGGCGTGTATTCGCGGGTCCGAAGAACGGACTGTCTTGTCCGATGACGAGTACATACCTAAGTACTTGGGGGGTTCTGGGAGTAGTTCATGTCGGGAGGAAGGAGCGTCGGGAAATAAAAGGCAAACGACATGGATTTGACTCCACATGCCTTGAAAAGTGAAAATACGGGAAGTTGCGATGATAGCAGGGGCCTCGGGATGGGCGGGATTGACTTGGCGGTTGGCCTTCAAGGTCCCGCCGCACATGATGCGAAACGATAAATGGTAAGAGCGCATTGCGTTGGCGTCGGAGTCCATGGTAGCTACCTAGGTAAATAAGTCTAAATCCAATGGGCAAATAGGGCGGGTCGCTTACATCCCATGGTCCGGTTCTTTGGCCAATGCACAAAAAGAGAATGGTTGGAGGCGAGAAGGGGCAGACAAGAGAAACAAGCGGGACGGCTAATGAAGAAACTCGCGAGAAGAAGAGCAACAGTTAATTATACTATGCAAAGATGAATACGGAACCATGGTATTCACTCCCAGGTGTCATTCAACAGCCACATGAAGCATAGAGGTACTACCTCCATCGGTCTCCCCGTTCAGGGAAGAACCTCCTCGAGATCCAACTTCCTCGAGCTTGGCCCGACGTACACCTTCTTCGCGTACTCAGTAATCACCCAATCCTGCTTCACCGTATCCCATGAACTCACATCCCTCCTCGTCAGCACCGCCTTGAACTGCACCTTCTCCTCAGGCTCAACCCTAAGTCTGTCAAACCCTCTCAGCACTACTTTGGGATCCTCTGGCCCTCCGAGGCTCACGTACAACTGCGGTACTTCATCACCCGCCACCTTGCCCGTGTTGGTGATATCCGCCGTAACAGTATACATGATGTCGTAAAGAGCAGGGTTTCCACCGGGGTGATGAAGGCCGGATGAGCGAAGCAAAGGCTGCGCCGATCCATCGTTGGCCTTGGGCGGCAAGAACTCCTCGGCAGTCTGGCCGTACTGCGCATCGCCGCTGGAAGCAGACATGTCGGTGCTGTTGAGGTAGGGGTAGATAAACTGGTAGACGTAGGGGAACTCTGCGGCAGGGAATACGTAGTCTTCCACGCTTTCAGAAAAGTTTCCAAAAGTGGGCGCAGCTTCCGTCTGCCCTGTGGTGGGAGTGTACTCGCCGACTTGGTGCTTCTCGATCTTCAAGTTGCTGTACTCAAAGGTGGTATAGCTCAATCCGAAGCCAAACTCGTAAAGGACCGAGGCGTTGGCCTTGTCAAAGTGACGGTAATCGATAAAGACTCCTTCGGTGTAGTCCAGCTGAGGAGCTTCGTTCCCGTTGTTCGGCTCATAGAGAACATCGGTGCCGTAGCTTTCGCGCGTGGCGCCCCAGGTGAAGGGAGTGCGCCCAGATGGGTTGACTCTACCGTACAAGACGTCCGTGATGGAGTTGCCGCTCTCCTGACCGGGCATACCGGCCCAGAGAATGGCGGTAATATTGGGGTTGTCGTGCCATTCCGTGAGCAAAACGGGACCAGGTGTGTGGAGGACGACAATGGTGTTGTTACACCAGCTGGAAACATTCTTGACCAGAGCATCGCCCTCATTCCAAAGGGTGAGGTTCAGCCGATCACCTTTGTTGCCATCAATCTCGATGAAGCCTTCACCAGAGTTGGCGTTGACAAAGACAATGGCAGTTGCGTCCTGCTGGGAAACCAGGGCCTTGATTTCCGTGGGCGCATGGTTCCTCAAGACACTCTCGTAGCGAGATCCATCCTGAACAGCGCGGGCTTGCAGGGCTTGGTCGGGCGTTACAAGATAAGGGAAGTTACCGGTGCCGGAACCCCAGCCAATACCCAAGGTACCATTGTTACATCTATTGTCGGCGCATCCGTTCGGCCCAAGAGGGTTCGGCCCAGCATCCTCACCAATGACAGCCAGAAACTTGGGCTTTTTCAGGGGAAGGGAGCCGGTGTTTTTCAACAGAACTGTTCCGCGAGCTGCAATCTCCCTAATAAGGCTTCCGTGATCGCCCTGAACGTTAACATGCCAGTTGATCTGCTGATAATCTTTGCGAGCGGCCCAGTGCAGCGGGCCGTACGTGTCGAGGGTCCAGAAGGAGAAGTTGATGGTCTCTTGGTCCTCGACGGTTTGGCCAACCTTGAAGAAAGCAGCCATGATGCGCATGGCCATGTCGTCAATGCGCCACTGCGGGACAGTTCCATTGAGGACGGCGAGTGTGAGGTTGGTTCCCCAGTAGCTGCGGCCGCTGTTAAACAGGGTATCACCGGGCATGCTCATGTCGAGACCGGCAGCAGCGCTCGCGACACCAGAGTGATGGGCTTGCCAATCGCTCATCACAAAGCCCTGGAATCCGTTTTCTTGCTTGAGCAGGTTGTTGAGGAGCTTCGAGTTCTGGCAGCTGTACGAGTTGTTGGCCTGAGTGTAGGCGCACATGAAGGAGCCTACACCAGCTCTGATGGCATCAACAAACGGCCACAAATACATTTCGTGCATGGTCTTGTCGTCAATGTTGGAGGATAGCGTTTCGGAGATGTTGTATCCGTAGTCCTGTGACTCTCCAACCTGTCTGAAGTGTTCTTGCTCGTTGCCGATAAAGTGCTTGGCGCAAGCGACGACGCCAGCGTCCTGTGTTCCCTTGATGGTCTCCGCCATGGCGATACCGGTGAGAACAGGGTCGGTCGAGAAGCCTTCCCAGTTGCGGCCGCCTTCGGGTGCACGGCCGAGGGGACCGGCAACAGGTCCGAGGAGAACCGTGACTCCCTTGCCCTTGGCTTCCTGGCCTAAAGCATATCCGCGTTTATACATGAGACCTCGATCAAATGTAGCGGCGGTTGTGACCCCGGCGGGGAAGACTGAGTTGTAGTCGGTGCCACGGATGGCCAAGGGGGCATCTTGCATACACATGCTCTTCAAGCCAAGTCGAGGGATGGCACCGGTTTGGCCAACGCATTGTTCAGCGCCCCAGCTGTGTTACGTTCTATCTGTTAGCTTTGTTTGACGGTGCAATGGTATTGGATGCGCTTCGTGGGCCACGTACCCGATGCCGGTTGTTAGATTGACTTTTTCGAGCAGGGTCAACTGGGATACAAAGGCCTTTGCCTTTTCGTAGGCTTCTTCCCAGCCGATGGCCTTGGGGTCCATCCATGGTGATGGATAATGGGGTTCTGAGTAGGCAAGCGACCTCTTATTGAGCTGTGTTGACGGGTCTATGTCAGCAAAGGGAAGCGAAACCGCCAGGACTGTTTGTATGGACAGCCATGGGAGGGCGTATCTGAAATGCATGTCTGGCAGGGACGGTTGGGCCGATCCCACGAAGGGCGAGTTGAAGGGTCAATCTGGATAAAACCGAACGTGCAGGTGTTTGGTAGCACAACTATAGAATGCAGTGATACTGATGATCCAGCAAGCTGGGAACGGGATTGAGGAAGATCTGGACAAAGGAAGCGGAAAGAATGGGACGGGTAGGGCCGACGGATGATATATGTCGAAGCTTACCTGTTGATGAGAAGGATGGATAGGCTCGGGCGCAGCCAGGGCGAGATTGCCGCTCGCCAGCAAGGCAAGCGGAATGGCGAACTTCATGGCGAGATGTTCAGGCGTGGACTTTGACCCCTTATTCTCACCAGACACAGCACAGGAAAAGGTCCTTTGTGTGATGGAACAGTCCGAACACGGCCGATGAAGATGGCACCGAGTCGCACGGGGAAGAGCACCGATATATACAAACAGATCGACACCCTTGACCCCTGGCAGTCCCCGTTTATTCTGTTGTCCCTCTTTGCGCTACACTACATGCTGCCGTGGATGGTCGGATGGGGTCTCAGACAAGACGTCGAATTTGAACACAGGACCTGGATCAACAAGGGGTAGACGGTCTCCCCTGGTCCATGTTCTTGACCGTCGTCACTGGTTCGAAGGCTGAGGTCGCCATGTTAGAGTGAGCTTGGGCCGATGATCTTGTCTTGAAGCCATCCTTGCAGGGAAGAGAGAAGGTCGCGAGAAACTTGATCCGGTTAACGCGATCGTCGGCATGTAGCGATTGAGCGGTGGGCGAAAGACAAAAATGTCCGATGCCAAGGGGAGCAGATGTTGGGAAAAGGGCCGATCGGGCTTGCGATATGGGTCAGGAGGTTGAAAAAAAAAAAAAAAAAAAAAAGAATACCCGGACGAAAGCACTCTTCCGGTCAGGCATCGAGTCGAGGAGCCGGAAGCGCGCAATGGTGGATGGGGTTGAACAAAGAATTGGCGGACCACGGCAGAAAATGGCATGCCGGGAAACTTGGGGTTGAGGTCATCGAATGCAATGCGACCGCTTCCAATTGGATGGGCTGCAGATGCCCGGTACCTACATAGTCTGGTCCGGGGATGTGGGGATTTGTGGAGAATGGGATCGACTCCGCTACGGGTTCCCGTCCCGTCATTCCGTCAACCGGGCAAGAACTACTCGAGTGAGAGCACTTGGTCCCGTGATCCTTCAGGGTTCTGTTGCGACTGAATCCACAATTCATGTGGTGATCAACAGCTCATGCTATCATGGACAGCTCATGTCATGAACTACCTACCTAGGTACAAAGTCCATGAACAGATATTCGGCATCGGATGAGACCAAATCTTGAAGACCCAAAAGTAAGCTCTCCATGGGGCCTCGGTTGAGCTCCCTCCATTTGCCGTGGTGGGGCACAAACCAGTGGCTCGTGTAATCCTTTTCATGGATCACCTTGACGGTTGAGTCGGGAAGGCTAGTGTGAGGTAGGCAAAACCTCGGAATCTTCCTCCATACATTTGCCTGCGGTTCCTTGATGTCTTTCTTCCGGCCACCTCGATTCCTGTTCTCCAGGAAATCAAGCCATTGACCGGTGTGCCCTTTGCATATTACGGGGGACAAAAATGCTGAATGACTAAGGGGACTTGTAATCCATCGTTTTCCCACCTGCGAAGGGGACTGGAGATGAGATGTACACGACGGCGAAAGGTAACCTATGGAATACTTTGTGCCACCCACCTCCCAAGAAAGCTCGGGGGTCCAAGAGGCAAAGGCTGGGGAGAGATGTCATTGTCTTCGTAAGTGACCTGCTCTTTCTTGATTGCATTGGCCATTCGTTACTGCAGCTTCTAACCTCGCTAAAAACGGAAGCTCCTTGAAAAATAGCAAACAATAGTGCCGGTTTTTTTCTTGACCGTTGCCAATAATGACATCGTCGTCTCCTCACAACGAACTTGACCCCGAAAGCAAGTGCCAAGTTACCCCACACGAAACTACTAGGCCCAATGGGACTTGGCATCCTCGATTTTGATGTTGCATTACCGTCCTCGTCAAATATTTTCTTCCCATCACACGGAGCCTCCAACAGTTCCTTACCACTCCTCTTTCCAATGCCTTGAATTGGTACATATTGGCTCAGGTGTGGTTGCATGCATCGGATGCAACATTCCCCCGGTCTAGGGTTGCCGATGATATGACACCTGGCCAGTGTCCGGATCACGACAACCGACGACTGCCGTGACACCTTGGCGATGTTCTCTCGCAGCTTCACGCTGACCGTGTTCGTTTGATCCTGAGTTCTGAGTGGGTTCGAGCAAACTTTGAAAATCACAGTCGTAGCCGTTCTGTTTCAAGCCTACTCAAGTGTAAAAGAGTACGGGCGATTGAATAAAAGTCCAATCGCCAAAGTCACGATATTATTGCAAGGGAACTTATCAACACAAACACAAAACAACACAGAGCCAGGGCTGGAATTGAGAGTGGAGTCAAATGGTAAAACAGCAAAAAGAAGAATTAGATGACCCCAACCCGATTTGAACGGATAACCTTTCGATCTGGAGTCGAACGCGCTACCGTTGCGCCATGAGGCCTTTGTTGATTGAATTGCCTTTGTCAACAGCTTACATTAGGATATTGCAGCCCGTCGATAAAGAAAACGAATTGGTGTACTCGCTGAAGGTTGACATGTCCAGAAGGAACACGCATGGAGAAAGCTGTTAGAAACGTATTGTAGACAATTTACAAGCTGGTAAACACTTTTAAATGTTGTTAGTTGTCATTGTCTGCAACATGGGCCGATGTCCTAGGTAAGTCAAGCCGAACTGAAACCTGTTGAAGCGTGTGTTCAAAACTCTTCGTGAGTTAATCGACAGTCATACCCAAGCGTCAGCCTAGGTACCTGAATCCCGTTCGTGCTTCATCATATTAGCACCTCGAGTCATCAGAGAGAACTCATTCTCGTAAGCCTGGACAATTAGGTAGTCAACAAGGAAGCTGCTAGCTAAAAAGATTTTCATAGGTATGTAAGAGACAGGCAGAACCAACAGCATTCTTGTCCTCCGCGTCTCAAGAGACAAAACTAGGTAAGAAGGGAGAGAGGAGAAGTGTTATTTGGGAGGAAAGGTGATGGGAAAGATGGAAGTAAAGGCAATAAGAGTATAGTCAAAGGGGTTTAATAGAGGGGCGATGAGAAATACCTCGTTAATGGGGCCGGAAACTTGTTGGTTTCATCACATTGGGAACACCAAATAACATTACCTACCTACCTACCTACCTCTACCTATAAGGTTGAAGCTGGTCAGTTACTAATCCGAAACTTCAGGTGCTTCATAGGTATAAATAGGTAGAGGTATATGCCTGTAAAAGGACTGGACACAATAGAGGTATAAAGCTTGAACAAATCTGAGCAGGAGTACATTTATTACCTCCATCATCGAAGAAGTCACCCATTAGCGGAAAGAGGAGGCTGAATTCGGCATCCAGCAATGTAACTCATGTGGCTTCATCCAATCAAGTCTAGGGCAGGTATATATCTGAAGCGAACTTGACTCGACGTTGCAGCTGTCAAAAGAGGAGGCAGCCGCCAATTTGGCTTCTTGAAGATAGAGGTACCTCTAGCATTCAGTGAATGGTTCTTCGCCCAATGTCCGTGCAGGTTTCTACAGCCGGCCGAGACAGGATGCTTTCCGCTTGCTTTATGCCTGTCCACCCGGAAGATGCACATGCGTACAGGTCAGTAGCGTCTAGCAGCTGTAAAGTCTGGAGACAACGAAAGGTACCTCTACCTACTTGTGCCTGGCCCTTGGGCTCGCGCTTTTTCACCTCACACAACTACCTTAGTACTCGCCATCCCTTGCGCCGATTGCACATATACGACTAGAGGCCGTTTTCACGATTCAGTCCACTACTACGACAAACTATGTTGCCCTCAAACCTCATCGGTATCTACGCTGAGTACAAGCGAGACACCAATGCCATCGCTTCGTGGCTGGCCTCGAGCGCAAGAATATGCGGTTACCCGACCGAGAAACTTTCCCTCGGTTCCTGGAATTCGTCCCCATCTACAGAAGCAGCGAAGCCAACAGGACGCTTGAAGAGGAAAGCACGAGAACAGGCCCAGCAAGCGACTAGCTTTACCGCGACATCTATCACCCCGCCAAAGCCCTACACACTAGCGGTTGCCGACTTCGTGCCGCTCGCTGAATTCATCGTGCGATCCAAGAGACCGGCTATCTCTGTGTCTCCGTCCGTGATTTCCATCCTCAACCGTGCAATATCTGCGCGTTCGAACTTTGGGCAGCTTCTGGGAGAGCAGCAAGATACGATACTCGATCCACAAAGCGACGCCACACATCAACACTTTGTTGAAGTTTTGGAGAAAGTCAGAAAGATCCTCCTATCGAAGATGCCACCCGCGATCCCTACTGCAGATGAGGTGAACGGAGCCCAACATCTATCAAATCAATTTGGCCTTCTTCGAATTCAGCAGCCATCTCTCAACGTCGTCGACGCCGATCCCAGCATACCAAAGACCGAGAAAAAAGACAATCACCCTGCGGCCGTTCAAGAAGACAAGACCGAATACATAGCAGAAGAGCCTTCCTCTCGCTCCGATGCAGTCGCTGCCTACTGCATGCTATTCCAGGACATCACAATCATCCGCGGAGCTGTCATGGACATCTGGGCGGGCGTCCGCGACGGCACCACCGACTATGTCGCAGCATCCATCGCCACCGACACCGCTATCGGCATGATTCGAGACATTGCAGACACCATGACTAGCGTGATGAAGCCTCATGAAGGGATCATACACATCATGCGGCTGTTTCACATTGTCAGATGCAGAACTCGCGGCATCGACATGGCAGCTGTCCGCTTCGAAGATCGTGAAAATTTCCTTCACGACACGTACGAGCTGGCTCTGCACAACTTGATGCTTCCAAGCATGACGTTGAGTACACTTATAGAGTCCTCCACCACGGACAGGGTGGGCTGTTGCCTCTCTCTACTCGAATACAGTGATGAGGACGCCATCTATGGGGTTGGGTGGGACAAAGATACAAGGTGGTTGAATCTTTGCGTCTCGGAGTGTACCGTGCTCGCGGAAGGTTTTGAAGATGACGAAAGGCTTTATCCTGTGAGGGACATGTTCGTTCAAGGAGTGCAGGAGACGATGAACACGAAAGTGGTACCGTTTTATGCAATCATCGCCGGCCAGCTCAACCTGGATATTCATCATGTCTTGGGGAAGAAGACAAAGGATGTTGCAAGGGAAGCTTTGAGGGAACTATCGGAAATAAGAAAGGATGTGCCGAGTATTCTCGACTGCCACGGCGAGGACAGTTATCTCGAGCATCAACTGAAGCTCCTGAACTACGTTCTTTCCGATCCCGTCAAGCAAGTGAAGGATTGGTCCCTAGAACCCGGTTTGCCTGTGGCCAAGGCTCACCAGACCTTGGAGCTTTTACCCGTCTTGACAGGCCAATTGGTTCACCACTACCGAGTAGCCATCTACCGGTTTGCAATCAGGATTGCGACCGTGATGGGGTCAATCCAATATGCGACACAGCTCTACCATGCCCTCCGCACAGAAAGCCTGGTCAAGGCAGAGTGGCCAGACCTGGACCATGCCCGAATACTACTAGGCGAGTCAAGCTTCTACGTGGGAAGTCTTCCCAAGAACATTCCAGAGTACATGTTAAAGTTCTCTCTTCAAGCCGGCCTGTCTCCGGCAGCAAAGGCCCGACAAGGTCGAAGCAAGAAGAAAAGCAAGAGACAAGCTCGGGAAGCGGATAGGTCACAGTACACCACAGCAGGACCACGAATGATCGCTGACGGGGATGACCGCCTTCCTTTCTCCAAGAAGTTCATCAAGCTGCATGAGTCGAAATGGAAAAAGGAGTTGGAGGCGTGGTCGAGGGAGCTTTTGCGGGATATCATCGCGACGGTGAACGTCGAGCCCATTACCCTCAGCAAGAGTGAAGGCAATTCGTGGAGCTCAAATAGCCAGGAGGAAGAGAGTGACTCCCGGCTTCGGTGCGTACTCTTGAAGCTCGCTGAAACTTTGCACAATGAATCGCGCAGTCTTCGCTTCCCATTGCTCAAAGTACACCAATCCTCATGGGAGTTATTGACAACCGCCCGCGATAAATGCGGTCCTATGCTGCGCGCATACTTTCGCGAGCCTGACTTTGAGGATGACGAGTTGACTTGGTTCATCACCGGATACATTTTCTCGGCAGCGTGTAGAGCGCACGACAAGAATCGTATTGGCCTACCCTTGAAACAGAGTCCAGACTTGAGGCCGCTGAAGATGGCGGGTGAGGTCTGTGAGAGACTCTTGACCACCAGGAGGGACTTTGGGACACGGGCTCTACGGTGGATGGAAGGTGGTGGTCAACCTCCACAACAAGTTGTTGAGGATGCAGTTGTTGGGCACGAAGCAATCGAGGACACTTGCCTCAACGGTACGGGCGTCGAGGATAAAGGGCCTGGTGTTAAATGCCACGAGATTACAGGTCCGAGCATCATGCCGACAAAACAGGGGTTGAGGTTCAGGATTTTTACAGGACAAGTGTTGGGCAGACGGAGGTTGATACAGGTCAATCAAACGGTAAAGATACAAGGAATGCGGGTACAGGTACATATATCGAGACTGCAAATTTTGAGGAACTTCCTCTGGAAATGTAACACAGGTACCTCTTGACAGAGATGTGGAATATGAATACGTTAGATGGAGTCCTTTGAGTGCGAAGATGGACGCGTAAAGAGAGAACGCAAACCAGATGCGTTGACACGATAAGAATGAAGGAATCACACGAACGACTTGAAAATTTCGCAAGAGTGTCCTGAATCCGCAAGTGTCCAATCCATCTTCACTAGAAAATGTCAATCTGGGCACCGACCGCATGTCCGGTAGAGGTAGTCGGGTTGTGGCTCGGGAAAATGCCAGGTGATGCCATGATGTTGTTGGGTTCGACGGATTCGACATGTTCCATTGTGTGAGACCATGGATGAAGAATCTTGGCCCTTGAAGAGGAAATCGCAGAGCTGGAGGAGTACCTACGTACCGAACAGTCGCTCATCGCGGTGTTACTGCTGATAGATTGCAGATAGGAAGCGGGATCACTTACTCGCGAGCATCAACGTGAGTAAGCACATTGCAGCTGATGTTGACGCTTTCAGGCGTTACAGTGATGCCTTTCTGTTGGTAAAATGGCGGGGCATTCGTCTCCGGCCTGGGCGACAGAAAGGATCTCGAAAGCCCCTACCGATCAATATCGAATGCGTTAAGCCGGAAAGAAATGGAACGAGAAAACATAAAGTCAATGGGCGATCGGCTGGAGATGCAGTGACTGCACATGCTGGCGGAGAGAACGTTCCTCTTGTTGGATTGACGCAACTTGAAGTCGACACGCTGAGGGACCGAAGTGGAAGCTTGCGGCAGAATGACAGGCGGGGTTAGGTCACTTGCCGGGTGGCGGGTGCTTCCACTTGTTGGATCATCTTGTGCCACAAACTTCCCCGCCTTGGTTTCTAGGAATCTCTGCTTCATGCTTTCCCTTTCCTACCTACCTCTACCGGTAGTACTTTCTGCTCCCATTCGAGATCTCAGTTATTCACCGGAACGAGGCGACGATTCGAAAAGAAAGACTCCATTCAGAAGAGCACTAGCTTGGGCTGCTAGGGCTCAACACAGCGACAACCACGATGCCTGTACACGGGCTACATGGATGATCATCTATCATGCATCCAATGCCCGTGCACATGGGATTTTCGTGTGTTTGGGTAAGATAGGTATGTATCCCGAACGGCGTCTCTTCGGTACAACCCTCCATCTTCTGTTTACCCGTTCCTGTCAATCTTCCAACGTCCCATATCTCGTCTTACCCCGCACTCAACTCTCTCCCACGTTTTTCCCCGGATCGCAGGGTCCACGGATCAACATCTTGTCGCTTCGGTAGCTAACCTTGTGAGAACAGAACAGTCTAGGTCCGTCAAGAGCAAGCTGTACATCGATGTGGGACCCATACAACGCAATTGTATGCAGACACAACAAGCCGATTCGACCGGGAAACGAGCCATGGCGGGCATCCGCATATACCTCCACTCTCCGCGTTCGCGACAACACACCTCCGATCTCAGTCGGTTACTCTGCTGCACCGCTCGTTAGGTAGTCGCACCATACAGACGGCCCAGCCCAAGCGATATAGGGGACAACACAATAGCCGGCTTCGCCTGCTGCGCTAGACACAGCACCTGTGTAACCGATAATGGAATCCTGAGCGGTGATAATATGTTTGGCCTTGTTCAAATTGAGACACTGCCCTACGTGGCCGGGTTCCCCGAGTGTTCGCTTGCGGCTATTGTACTAGCTTCTAGCCAGTCTCTAGCCATCCAGTCGTCTTCTCGAAAGTCTGCCTTGGTTTTTTTCCGGCTTCAATTTTGCCGCTGGAAATATTGGGCGGGGAAGAAGTCGATGATGAAAATGTTGTCGACGTCCCCAAAGATGTAGAGCTTGTCCATCTCCTCGGCCCTCTGTCCAGGAGCATTATGGCTCTTGTTCGATATCTTACACCCCATCTGGCGGCAGGCTTGATTGTCACTGGAGCCGTACTGGCAAGTCCTTTCAGCAATGCTGTCCATGATGCACACATCGCCACCGGCTTCGTCTCAGAGCTTACACAGAACATCACGGCCGTTCATCAAGAGCACCAGCAAATACACAGGCATGCTCTTGTCTGTAGCCAGTCTTCGTCCCTCACGGTTGATGTAGGCTACGCCAAGTACCAAGGCCAACAAAATTTCGCTACCGGCGTGAATGTTTGGAAAGGGTGAGAAGCGCCAGCTCTACATCGATATCTGAACCCGTGCTGCATGCGGTTTACTGACAGCGTATGGCTAGAATCCGGTATGCAACTGCTGCAAGATGGCAACCGCCGCGTCTTCCACCGCCGCGTCCTAATGCCCCTATCACGCAAGCGACGAAACAAAGTGCTCAGTGCCCGAATTCCAGCCCATCTGTGGGCGGTTCACCCCAAATTGAGGACGATGAGAACTGCCTTTTCCTCAATGTCTATGCCCCCGCCAAGGCGCAAAACCTCCCTGTCCTTGTTTGGATTCATGGTGGGGGCTACGGCTTGGGAAACAACGTTCAGGACATGACCGAGATTATCAACGCAAACAACCAAGGCTTCCTTGTCGTCTCCATCCAGTACCGTCTCGGCGCCTTTGGCTTCCTTGCTTCACAAGAAGTCAAGAACACGGGTGTTGTCAATGCTGGTCTCCTCGACCAGGCCTTTGCTCTCGCATGGGTCAAGCTGTTCATCTGCAAATTTGGCGGCAACCCACTAGCCGTCACTATCGCGGGCGAGTCCGCTGGCGCCGGCTCCGTCATGTACCACAACCTTGCCGTCAACGGTACTTTGGGTCCGCTACTTTTCGACAAGTCCATTGCCAACTCGCCCTACCTTCCTTTCCAGTACAACTACAACGATGCTATCCCTACTTCTAGATACTATGCCTTCGCTCAGGCTGCCGGTTGTCCCAGCAGTGGGGACGTGTTCGCCTGTCTTCAGAGCAAAGACTCGGCCACACTACAACAAGCTAACTACGTCGTCAATAAACAAGCGCCGCATGGCTACTGGGCTTTCTACCCCGTCACCGACCACGCCTACATTATGAGTCTTGCCAGCCAACAGCTTGCCGACAAGCAAGTGAACGGTATGAAGCTTCTCGTTGGGTTCAATGCTAACGAAGGCCCTCTGTTTGTCCCCAACAACATCGACACCGAGTCACAACTCGCCGAATGGCTCAAGGTGGAGTTTCCCAAACTGTCCGCGACACAAGTCAACTCCATCCTCATCGCGAATCCCAACAGTAGCCCAACTAACCGCGCGGGCCCGTTCTTTGAAACGAACGGTCTTTCCGGCGCCAACGCGCTGAACATGTCTGGTGGTGCCAACGGCCAACAACAGCGCGGCTACAACATCTACGCCGAAGCCACCTTTGTCTGCCCAGCCTACTGGTTTGCCTCTGCATTCATCGGCTCTAGCGCTAAGAAGGCCTACACATACCAATACTCCGTCCCCTTTGCCCGGCACGGCACCGACATCGCCGGCTACTTTGGTCCGCAAACTGAGAACCAGTCTAACGACTTCGTTCTTGCCTTCCGCCGCATCTGGGGTAACTTCATCATGACTGGCAACCCATCCATCACCAGCCTGCTCGCCAACGGGCAGTCAACGGGGGATACGAGCGCACATCCTGTTGCGGCTTGGCCGGCTTGGACCGAGAGTGCTCCAAAGTTGGTGAATCTGAACGAAACAGGTGGTTTGCAGTACCAGGCACCGACGCAATGGGGGTTCAATGTGACGCAGTCCAAAGAGCCCGGATTGAAGAATGCGATGGAAGTCGTAGATGCTGACTCTTGGGAGGGAGGGAGAGGGCAGAGGTGCACCTTCTGGAAGCAACTAACTCCTAACATTCCGGCGTAGATGACTGCATGGTGATGGCGAGACGATGGTTTGGACGTATCTTTTACCAACTTCTTGCTCCAAAGTGTATGCCAGCTCAATACCATGCTCTCTGCTTGCTCCATCTTGCCCTGTGCGCTTTCATGCCCTGTCTATACGTTGCAGCCTGGTGTTCCCGTCGCAGAGTCTTGCACTGTCGTTTGGCACATCCGTACCTACAACGCATGTCTAGAAACAGATTTTCCTACTACGGTATTTCCAGGTCTAGGAAGGGGCCCTAATCCAATGTGATGTTTACATTTATTCTTGGACCTAACGTCCAATGTCGAATGGCGCAGATTCCCCGTACGGTAGTAACGAATCCTTCAACTATACCTCTACGCTACCAGCAAGCAGTCCATGAGTTGCCGCAGGCGTCAAAGTGCAGATTGCACTCCCTACATCCCCAAGCAATGCACTGATCGTGGTGCCAGCAGGTTTGGCCCCTGCAAGACCGCTCGAAAATATCTCCCTCCTTTCCTCTTTCGCTGATATGAGGGAGGTCCCTCTTATAGCAGGTTTTCTCGACCTAAGATGGAGCTTTGGTGTTAGTCTTTTGGAGAAGCGACAGAAAGCATCATATGGGTTTTTTGTGAACGCTGGGGCAAAGCACGTACTCCAGCAACCCTGAAACTGTCATTGATCTGAGTTCCGTTGATCTGAAGTCCGTTGACCTGCGTTCCGTTGACCTGTGCCTTGGTGACCTCGGCAGTCTCTACCGGGGCAGAGTGCACAGCCGAAAACGCGGCAGCGATAGCGAGGAGTTTGAACAGGTTGGCTTGCATGTTGGGCAATAGAATATTGCTTGGTAACTTGGACAGGATGTAGAAAAGAGTACGAGCGTTGAGGATTGATCGGCTTGATGGCTCTGTTCTCTGGTTGTTCAGCGAGCAGGAGAAGGCTGCTCTACATATACCTACTTATACTGACCAGTTTATCATGATTCCGTCCGGACCTTGCCATCTGTGCCTTGTCGTCGGGTAGCATGGTTCCATAGTATACGGCGGTATTCCGGCGTTGTTGGTTGCTGCATGATGAGTCCGTGTTAAGACAACGTGGGTCAACATGATGAAAAGAGGATGCTGGAGAAGGAACTGAACCAGGCAAGTCTTCTTTCATGAATACGATAGTCCGGCTTCATTGGGGGAGTGTCTGCGTCTCGTACAGTATAGGTAGGTAACGTAGCGTTGACAACCCCGGGCATCTAGATGTATGGTTCTTCTAGGTACCTACCAATCGCACATCCACATTCGAATTGCTTGTTCGACGTACATACATGAGGACCAACGAGCCAAACAGTGAGACTCTTGGGAAGGATAGCCGTGCCTACCTCGCCTTGAAAAATAGTGGATATGGATGCTGGTTGGAGCAAAACTGGCCCCCAAGCCGACATGATGGCACGGGCCGACTGTCTAATTCACTCTTAACATACTACATTGACTAGGGTCCCCGGTAGCGAGTTCGTATTCTAATGCGACTACCGTCCATTGCCGGGCCCTACCTGCACATGTTGGATGTTTGCGGTATTGCACTGTCCTTTTCGCGTGGTAGGGTAGCAGAGTTCGAGCAAAGCGCCGGAAAATGGTCTGCTCAGAAGAAATGCCTACCTACCTACAAGGGCTGGGTTGTAATTGCCCTGGTAGAGCCTCAGCCCTTGGCACTTGCCATGACTGATGTCGGTTTATTCGGAGACTCTTGACCCAGACGGAGACAACAAACGGTAACAGACCATCAAGAGGATATGATAGGTAGGTAGTTGATGGACTGTAGATGAATTCATAACGAGCATCACCGGTACAACTGACAATATATCAGGGTAGCTGCTAATCAACTCTGTCAGGAGCCTGCCATCAGTTTGCCTAGAGATATCAAAGAACCACTATGCTGCTGTGGGGACGTTAGGTGTACACATGTAAGATTCGGTCTACAGCGCCGACCCCCCGAGCCAACTGGCAACAGGTTACATTGAGGCCTTAGTGAACGTAGTCCAATTGGGATCAGTTCCGGGGGCTACTTACCTAGCGACACACCAATGCTACCACACGCCCCCGGGTCTCCCCTCCTCGTTCGTTTCGCCCCACTCCGTCCACCCCTCCACGCTTTGCTTACTACGAGTCTACGACTAGTCGAGGTCGTCACTGCTGCGGCTGGTGCTGTCCCCTTGTCTCCCGCCACCACTACAGTCACTACTCGAATTATCATCATCATCAGCACGATCTTTCGACGCTCCAACTTTCCACTACTCTCATCTGCACGTTGCACCGCTCGTACCTCCGGCGCCTTCCTAGAATCCAACCACTTCTACTATCACTACATGCTTCACAAGCTCCTATACTCCCCTTTAGCTGCCCCATCGCATTACTACGCATTTGGAAAACATATTTCTTGCTCGAAACATTCAAGCCGCGCCGTTATTACCTCTGTATCAACTCGCTAGCAATATGGCAGGCGAACCGGCGGCAAGTGCGCCTCAAACTCTTCATTGTCCATACATGTACCTTATGCTAACCATCATATTTATCAACAACAGAGCTCCATGACTACGCCCCAAGTCGCTACTGACCAACAGCCTGTAAGCGACGACAAGTCTCTAAGCGATATCCGGAGATCAATGAAGAGGGACGGACAGGGCATAAGTGCGTTGGGCCTCGATGGCGTGTTCCGTAGTTTTGACGCCGAACGCAATGTTCTCGACGCGGTTGGCCTTAACCCGGCCCAGATAAGAGAATACTACGATGGTCTGCCGCTTCCCGAGAGACTGCGTACCGCCGACGGCCGCAACGTGTCCCGTTGGGATATGTTCCACCCCGATGCGGAGAATGTTCCGAAGATATTTACGGAGGAGGAGAAAGCTAGAATGCTGGCACATAACGAGGAGATGGTAAAGCGTGGAGTCACATGCGCAACCTGTGTTCCAGGCAAGTCGGTAGACGAAAGGGGATTGAAAGCTTAGGTTGATGGTGCCTTTTTGCTTTGCGCTATTATAAAATGTTTATGCCAGTCACTTCCAAGCCTTAAAGACAGGCCACAGTCGTGTAATGTTAATCCAGTAACCTAGCTCGTACCGCTAGTCGTCTAGCCTTGGTGTACCGGCGTAGCCGTTCAAGTTTAGTAATACGTGTTACGATCCAACCAATGAGCATAGATAGATTAACTAATTAGAAGGGTCCCGGAGTCCCGAATATCGGGACTACGGGACCGGCTGAAAGCTAGTATATAAAAAGGCCTCCCGGCCTTTGTTATTATAGCTTTTTAATAAACAATAGCTTTTATAATCGATTAGTACCTTTCGGTTACTCTTACTATTATTCTAATTCCAATAATATATTCCTATATTTATAACGGTTCGTTATATATTGTTTACTCCTTTATCTTTGTATATTAGTATTTTAAAATTTACTATTATACCCAAATTTCCTTAAAATTAAATATTATTAAATTTCCTCAATTTACTTTAACTTTCTACTATTATATTTGGAAATTCTATTAAACGCTCCGCTTCCGGAAGACCCGTTGGAATTAGACTCCCGGGTACTACGACCGGAAACCCCGGTCCTAGAACGGATTTTATAATTAGTATTTAAAAAAATAATAGCCGTAAAATTATAATTATTAAATTTCGTATTAAAAAGATTAAAGAAATTATATATTATTTTAATATTTAAAGTAAGAAGTTAACTATTAACCCTATCCCTACTATTATTAAAAATACTATTATAGTTAAATTTTATAAAATTATTAATAGATTAAATATAAAAGTTTTATTCAACGAGGGTTAGGGTTAGGGTCAGGGTTAGGGTTAGGGTTAGGGTTAGGGTTAGGGTTAGGGTTAGGGTTAGGGTTAGGGTTAGGGTTAGGGTTAGGGTTAGGGTTAGGGTTAGGGTTAGGGTTAGGGTTAGGGTTAGGGTTAGGGTTAGGGTTAGG